ACGTTGACGCGCAAATGCACGAAAACGGTCGGCGCGCCGACCGATCGGTCAGTTCTGAACGGTCGGCTATAATTTCCAAATGGAAGCCTTATTCTTAACCTTTGTTTTCCCCCCGACTTCTAACCACCAATCATCACCCCACTATCACTCCCTATCAACACACAATCACACACCCTTTTCCACCCTGACATACACAAGTTTTAATCCAAAAAATCAATAAAAAAACGATATTCCTGCAGGACCTGTGCCGAATAAACAATCAGCTGCTGATCGCGCTGGGCGTCGGGCATCCGAAAGTTGATTTGATTTGTACGACACTCGCCCGGTACGGTATTCATCCCAAAATGACGGGCGCCGGCGGTGGTGGATCGGTGTTCGCGTTCTTGAAACCAAGTGAGTCCAGGAAATTTGGCTGATTTTGGAGAAAAATGGGCGGAGCTATGAGTTTTGAGGTGATAACTCCGCCCATTTTAGTCCTAGAAAAGTGATTTGTGTACCAGTCTGTTTGAAATTCGATTTCCAATAAATTGATATGAAAATCAGCGAGTCCGGATCAAAATGGCCGGAGTTATGACCATGTGACTGGTTTTGGTTCGTAGCTCCGCCCATTTAAATCGTAGAGCTCCGGGTTTTTTGCATGATTTAATGGATGATTCTTATGAGTTTGTGTAAAACTCGATTACCAACAAATTGGGACAAAAATCGAGTCTCTAGGATCAAAATGGGCGGAGCTATGGCATTGTGAACATTTTCTACTCATAACTCCGCCCATTTTCATCCTAGAAAGCTTATTTTTGTACAAATCGATAGGATACTTTCTTGATTTCTTGCAAAAATCGAATTTCCTTTTGATTGGTATTAAAATCAGCGATTTTGGATCAAAATGGGCGGAGCTATGGCTTCTAGGCGATAACTCCGCCCATTATGTCCTAAAATCGATAATTTTCGCACCAATCAATGAGGATTTTTCTATGAGTTTGTGTTAAATTTGATTTCCGATCGATTGATATCAAAATCAGCGATTTCGGATCAATATGGGCGGAGCTACTAACCAAACCAGTGAAATTGACACAACTCTGCCCATTTGGATCCTAGGAATCTGGTTATTGTACCAATCGAATGAGATTTCAACGCGCACACTATTCAAATCTTAATCCTTGTCGATTTAATGATTTGGGATCAAAATGGGCGGAGCTAAGCATCAAAAACACGAAAGTGGACCTAACTCCGCCCATTTTTCTTCAAATTCGATGATTTTTGTATCAATCGATTAGGTAATCCAATCGTTAATAATATGCACACATGAGACATTTGATTCCCATCCGATTACCAAAAAAATCAAACCTCTAGGATCAAAATGGGCGGAGCTATGGATTTTAGGCGATAACTCCGCCCATTTTCATCCGAAATCGATGATTTTTGTATCGGTCTGCTGGAGATCGAATTTTACACAAACTCATGATACTCAAAATGAAATCCCTGATCGATTCATCGATTTTGGATCAAAATGGGCGGAGTTATCGCCTAAAATCCATAGCTCCGCCCATTTTGATCCTAGAGGTTTGATTTTTTTGGTAATCGGATGGGAATCAAATGTCTCATGTGTGCATATTATTAACGATTGGATTACCTAATCGATTGA